TCATAATAACGAATTATAGAGAAAATGTAAAATTGTTTATAAATATACTCATCGTATTAATTATGATTTACAAAATAGAATTTTGTGTTTTAAAATTCTAAAATTAGACGATTCATGGGAATTAAAGCAGTCAAAATACGTCAAAAACCGCGGGTCGAGCCCACATCATCTCACTATGGGGCAAATTTGGGAAAATATATTAAACCCGCAAATAAGCGGACCACATGGATTAATTCGCAGTGGGTCATAGGTTTAATCGGTTTTCATCCGCGGGTTGGCGGATCAGCCCGCATATTAGTATTTATTGATAAAATTATAATTTATTCAACATGTGGTAATTTAAACAAACTTTTAATAGTATTTTTATTTATTTATTTATTTTAGTAGTATTTTAAATTTTGGTTACTTTAAAATTATTTAAAAAAAATCCATGGACAATCCCAAAAATCTGCATACTATTGCGGGACGGGTTTGTATTTCATATATGCTACCCGCGGGTCGTGCGGACCGACTAACTACAAGTCAAAATATTTTTTGTCTATCGCAAAACGGACTTAACGGGACGAATTAACTCGCTTTGACAGTTCTAATGGGAATATTATTTAGTCATACAACAAAATGAAGTTTGGACATAGTAATAATAGAATATGTATCTTATTTGTTAGATGAGAGATTGAAAGATGAATTATAATAATTAAAAATTAATTATTATTTTTCATGATTCACAAAATTTAATAAATACTTATCATCTTGTTGAATAATTCTAAAATCATATTCAAGAAATCTTTATAAATTGAAAATTAAACTTCTTTGGTAAGCTATAGGTATGAAAATATCATAATTTCTATTTAATCTAATTAAATTAAAATTAGTTACATGGATTTCATATCTATTTAATTTACACGACCAAAATAAAAATATCTATTTAATTTACACGACCAAAATAAAAATATCAATTTAGTTTATAAAATAGATAGATTATTTGTGATAAATTTTCTAGAAATCTTTAGAAGCAAATAAAATATCTTTCAATTAATGATAATTGGCTAAAATGAGCGAAATTAATGACAAAAACGTTGATTGTTATGGAATTAGTCCCAAAAATATATGAACAAATTTATTATACGTAATTAATGTATAATATTGTTCGGAATATGCTTTTATTATTAGTTACCATAAGTACAAGCAGATTTTATTTGATTTCCATAAATATTTGATTTTATTTCGATTTTTCATTATTAATTCGAATTTATATTCCAAAAAAATTTCAAAGATCCGATTTAAAAAATTGGGTCAATTTTCCGATTTTAACCCGACCCATTTTCATTTGTACTTCTCTTTTAATAGTATAGAGATTTACTACGGATATACCCAAATGCAGTAATTAACTAAGAATGTTAACAAATGTCGTCGTAGCACGAACATGTCTTTTTTTTTTTTTTTTTTTTTTTTTTTTTTTCATCAGCACGAACATGTCTTTGGACAAGCAAAGATCTTTAAGAACTTAAGCTTATATCCTGAAAATCTTCCTTCAATTACCGGTAGCTTGAAGCTTCAAATTTATTATTGAACAAATTAACGCGATGTATTTAAAAATTAGTTGCTTATTGATTATTGAATCAAGCTAAGTAAATCTTTTTATATAAACAAAAATGTTTTGGATATCTGATCCATATATAATTTCTCTTGCCGAAAGACAGTAACAATCAATAATAGACTCATAGACTAAAACTTAAGACCAATGATTTAACATCTCCCAAGAAAACCTGTGTTATTATTAGCCTTGAGTGAATAAAGTATATTTTCTATTTGTATATCTGTATATTTTATTATTTTTCTATACCAAACATATTAAGATTTGCTCTAAACAAATAATATATACACTGTTTTTCTGTTTGAGTAAAACTATAGACATAACTCACAAAAGAACATGATTTTCTTATGGATTTATGGTTGAATCCAAAGCATGTGTCATCAGTTGGATTGTAGTGCATAATCGATTGGCTATTCATGATGCACTGTCAATGAAATTTCTTAGCTTCGGATGTTGGCTATTGCTCCGGTACGTATTCAATCCTTCTAGACTTCGAAAACGTGTTCAATTGACAAAAAATAAAAATGGCTTTTATTCCTTTGTCTTATGCTCATCTATCATCTCCTCTTCCAAGCAACTCTTTACAAATAGTTGGAAGAAGAGAAATGCAAATCTACACACACATTAACTTCTCCATCGGCCTCCTCAATTAGAAGCGACATCAAGCTCCTAGCTAAATCTCGCATGCCTTAATCAATTAATCTTGTCACTTTGCGGATTCTACTAATATGCTTATTCTTTGGTTCAGTCAACATCTTCCAAGATCATTTTGCAAACCGAATTTAAATTCTCTTTTAAAGATTTTCTCATTTTGTAGTGAATTCTCTAAACTTTTCTGTAAAGCTGCTGGCCATTAAAATCAGAAATTCTAGGTTTTAAAATGGTACTGAAAGATATTTTGTGTTTAATAAAGAAATGAAATGATGCATCTCAAAGGACTTCTTCGAGAATGTTGCCGTTTTATAGCCTTCAACAAATCATATGTTGCACACTTGCACTTGCAATATCATCAACAATAGGCAATCTACAATATAATATCAACGGTGGAGTTAATACGACACATGCGAAATTATAGACATTAAATTTGCGTGTTACCACTAATCAATGTGAACAAAAAAGATATTTGGGGAAAAAGTAAAAGTAAAACTTGTGGCTGAGATGAACCATTGCAGGATTTGATCATTGCGAGGACCACCTTTACAAATATTCTAGAGTTAATTTCTTTTATCTTTCTAATTGTAGAATTTTGTTTGGACAAACCAGAGAACTGTAAAATATTTATGGTTAATCTTGTACTTTGTTGTTAACATCCAAATTTCAAATAAACATATTTATTAATTCTGGTTAATCAAGAACTGTTGGGCCGAAATTTACATATCTTCATCAAACTCAAAGCTCCTTCTAAAGAAAGTTAGAATTCTAATATATAAAGCGATTAGTGAATAACATAGTATAGGTAGCTCAACTATGTTCATATAAAAATTGTATCATAATACAAACACATATGTATATGTAGCATAATACAAACCTAAAATTTTGTTTTGACCAAATAGATTTTTTCTTAAAAGAAAAGATAAAAATGATGGAGAAAAGATAAAACGAGAGAGGTGGAATTGCTTCTAATTTTAGTAAAGAAGCATAAGTGAGTCTCCTTTAATATCTTTTAACGTTACTATTCCCAATTTGTTCCAACATGTCTTCTTCTTCACAGACACTTTCGTTTTATCCCTTTCTCTCTCTCTCCATAACAAATAAGTACTCCCTTAGTTTTATAAAAAGTATCATTCTATCATTTTTCACATAAATTAAGATAACTAAAGAAATTTCATTTCTATCCTTTATTTATACACTAAATAATATCATTTCTAATTAATAAGCTGAAATAGTATAGATAAAAAAGAGAATTAGTCTTAAAAACTGTACTAAAAACATAAAACGACACTTTTTGTGAAACAAAATTAAAATCTTAAAACGACACTCTATGTGAAACAGAAGAGGTACCAAAATTCTCAATCAATATCTTCATAATAATAATACACAAAATTGACATTAATGAAAATAACTAAATTATTTTACTACTTTAAAGAGTAAATTGAACGGTTATGAGTGATTTTCTCTAAAATTAGATTATATGTGTTCCCATTAGTTTCTCATTAATTAAAAATATAGATGATCCGTTTTGTCGTTTAATAGCGTATCTAAAAGTGGTGAGGTGAACATGGGTTGGAGTTGCAGGTGACAATGAAAGAATAAGAAAATTTAAAAGAATGACGACAGAGGAGGATACCCGAGAAGAGAATAAAGTTTTATTGTTTTTTACGTACACGATAACACATAAGTTAACCGTGATAAACAAAGTATCACGATAAATAAATATGCTAATGCATAAGTTAACGATGCTAATGCATAAGTTAACGGTAATAAATAAATTGTTGAAATAAATAAACATGTCAATATATAAGTTAGTTGATATCAATCAGATAATAAATAATTTAACATGATAAATATAAATTTATCATATAACTTGAAAAGTTATCGCGATACAATCTGATTTATATTACTAATCAAATAAATAATCACCAAAATCATTATCTTTTTATTTTCTCTCGTGATGAATAGTATTTTTATTTTGGCCGAATAGTGTTTTAGTTTAATTTATCGCGATACAATTTGATTTACATTGTTAATCAAATAGATAAACACAAAAATCATTGTTTCCTTATTGATTCCGATGATAGATAGTGTTTTCGATAACAAATAAACAATATTATTTTATTGTTAAAACTAAATTATTTATTTCGTTATTATTTTGTTAGTATTTAATTCTAACAAATTGTAGTTTTTACTATTAATTGAGTCAGAGAAAAAAAAAACTAATAAAAAAATAAGTATGAATAAATTTTTAATTTTTAAATCCTCTATGCATATCAATTAATATAGTTCTAATGAAAATAACTAAATTATTTTACTACTTTAAATAGTAAATTAAATGGTTATGAGTAATGTTCTCTAAAATTAAATTATATGTGTTCCATTAGTTTCTAATTAATTAAAAATATAGATGATCCGTTTTGTCGTTTAGTAGCGTATCTAAAGGTTCCTTCCACCGCCTTCGGAACTCAAAGTGGAATTAAAAACAAATCAATTTTTTAGTAATATAACAGCCGCTCGCTCACGGGACTGTCACATTAAAGTCACTCACAAATCCTCCACGTCAGTAAAATATCCTCGTGGAAAGCTCTTTAGCCGCTGTTCCTTAACCTCAACCTCACAGACACGTCACGCTAGCTTTCTCACTTTCGATTTAACCGCGGTTGATAAAAGCAGAAATATTTATTTAACCATGGTTAAAGTTTAACCAAGACGTGGTTTAAGTATATCCCACTACTCAGCATCAGTTTATAAAGGAAGCGAAGCTTTGCCGGAGATTTAGCAAACACACAAAACAAAACCAACTCATCGGAGAAGACGAATGTGATTAGAGTGATATAAAAAAAAATGATGATCGGAGAATCTCATCGTGGTTTTAATCCTACGGTTCATATTCCATCATGGCCACTGTCTGAAGATTTAACGGCGTCAGATATTTACGGAAGTCCAGACGGAGGAAGTAGTATGATGGAAGCTTTGGCTGCGTTACAACGTTATCTTCCGTCTAACGAACCGGATCCGGATTCAGATCCGGATCTCTCGGGTCCGGATTCACCCATCGATGCTTATTCGTGTGATCATTTTCGGATGTATGAGTTTAAAGTGAGACGTTGCGCTCGTGGTCGGAGTCATGATTGGACGGAGTGTCCTTATGCTCATCCCGGAGAAAAAGCTCGCCGTCGTGATCCGAGGAAGTTTCATTACTCCGGTACGGCGTGTCCTGAGTTTCGCAAAGGTGGTTGCAAGAGAGGAGACGCGTGTGAGTTTTCTCATGGTGTTTTTGAGTGTTGGCTTCATCCGGCGCGTTACCGGACTCAGCCGTGTAAAGACGGTGGTAACTGTCGCCGTCGTGTTTGTTTCTTCGCTCATTCGCCGGATCAGCTTAGGGTTTTGCCCAGTCAAAGCCCTGATCGTGTTGATTCATTCGACGGTTTGTCTCCGATTCGTAGAGCGTTTCAGTTTACGATTTCGCCGTCGTCTAACTCGCCGCCGGTGAGTCCTCGTGGTGACTCGGACTCGTCGCCGTCTTTACTGAGTCGTTCACTCGGGTCTAATTTGGGAAACGACGTCGTTGCGTCTCTGAGGAATCTGCAGCTTAGTAAAGTGAAGTCTCTTTCTTCGTCGTACAACAATGAAATCGGAGGATACGGATCTGGGTTCGGGTCGCCACGGGGATCGGTTTTGGGTCCTGGTTTTCGGAGCTTACCAACTACACCGACCCGACCCGGATTTATGAACATTTGGGAAAATGGTTTGGAGGAAGAACCGGCGATGGAACGGGTCGAGTCGGGTCGTGAACTGCGAGCGCAGCTGTTCCAGAAGCTGAGCAAAGAGAATTGCATGGGTCGGGTTGACCCGGATCCGGGTCAGGGAGCGGGTGATACTCCTGATGTCGGGTGGGTCTCTGACTTGGTTATGTGATTTTAACCGGATTCGTAAATTTAATTAAAGGAATAATTATCTTCGTGGGAGGTTTTTTTTATGAATCTCTTCTCTTAGGAAAAGAGGAGATTTTCTCGGAAAGTTTTTATGTAAATATTATTTCCTAATTTCGTATAATCTCTATTTTATAATCGATGATTCCAGGGAGATTTATTTCTCAGTGTATAGGAGTTGCTTAGGATTTTTCATTATGATGGATTCACTAATAATATTATTATATGATATTGTTGGTTTTTGGTTTTGATATTATGATGTTCGATGCAAATCTCAATGTAATTATTAAATATCTAATGAATGAAATGAGGATGTAAATTATTTATTTTGTTATGTGCTACATAAGTGGCCATTTCTTTAATGTACTTAGTTTTAAGTAATGATTTGTTTTGGTTAGTTTATTTTAGGCATGCTCAAAGTGGTGGTGATGTGATTAACCTCCGTAAACATCATTACCGTAAAATGAGTCGGAGATTGTAGTTGTACTTGTGTGTCCTTAAGTTCTTAACTTATATAAACCAAAAGTTAAATAGAAAATTATACTCTGACTTAAATAATGGATCTTAAACTGTATCGTAACACCTTGCACGTTGCACGATTTTGAGCTTATCCAGTATGAGATATGATACTTGGCTTAAAGAGTAGGGTTTATAAGTGGTTATATCGAAATTATTTGGATTTATAATCAAAATTCTTTTTCAGATAACTGAGAATTTTACATGTGGCCCTATTAAATATGAGTTTTTTTTTTTATCTATGAGGGAATCAACTAAAATAAATTGTGCACTTTATCTCCATTAACTTTCATATTTAACATAAAAAAAGTTTTTTGATTAAGGATTAAACTTTTTCCTCGCAAGCTTCTAAATTATAAATATACAGTTAGGCCGTAGGGCCGATCTTATCTTGGGTCCTTAGCAACAGAATAATTTGATAAAATTGGATGTTGGATCGGTTTGGAAATATTGTAATGTTTTCTGACCATAATAAACTATATGTTATAGTATAAAGTTGTCCAACATGTCTGGTTTAGGTTTTGAATCACCTTCTTGTTTGATGGTATTGAAACACACATCTGGTTTAGAAAACAACTTTAAAATAACTATATATATATAATGAACGTTTAATAACTTTTTGTGGAATAATGTAATGAACGTTTAATAACTTTTTGTGGAATAATGTAAAAGCGAATGTCATATTTTTTGGTTAAACAATGGGCGATACTTCATCTTTTAATTTTGATATTTGTCAATGTTTCATAATGAATTAATGATCACGACGTACTCTTAACGACGCTTTTAAATATTTTTCTTCAATGTTAAAAACTCTTTTTTTCGGGAAAAAAAATCTGAGTATTTGACTTTTAAAAAGAGGTCTGGTAGTCACAGATCTTATCCGAAGTAATATTGACTTTTAAAATGAGGTCTCGTAGTCATAGATCTTATCCAAAGGATTGAGCTTAGGACTGATAAATTTAATTATATGTTTATATTAGTTTTTTTCGATCTAGAAAAGCTGAGTATTTGCAATGATTTAAAGCAAAGCAAACAGTTAAATAAAATAAAGTAAACCACAAATATTATTTATACATTTTTTACAAATCGGTTCTTACCTGTATATTATTAGTATAGTATATCATAAATTTGTTATGTTTATTTACAATTTGTGTCTTTTTAATGTACATTACAAAAAGTATAAAAGAAAAAAATTATAAACATTAATATAAATTTTATATTATATGAAATATTTATAGAGTATACCAAGATTTTAATCTTTTACTCTTTATCATGTTTTTAAATAAGAAATTCCGGACTTCTATTTCTACCGCCTTAGTCTTCACATCTTGATTTTTTTTTTGTATTTTTGGAGTGACTTTTTTTACATTTCTTTTATCATTTTTATGTATTGCATCAAAAATTTTGAAATGTCATTAGATAGTGTATCAATTTTCATATTGTTTTTTTGGTTTATTTCTGTACTGCATCTCGGATATCCAAAATTTTGGAAATGAAATCTATATATATAATTAGAGAATTTTCTCTCCATCTAGGGTGTTCACATCATCATTCAAGTCATTATATTTTACATTTTATGTGGGCTCCATATTCTTTATTTATTAAAATAAAAAATATGAAAACTAAAATTAATTCACCTAGTTTATATTATTATCTTTCATTAATAAAAATTAATTTACAAAAAATAAAGTAAATATTAAAAAAGAAACGAAAAATAAATATATAACACAAAATATAAACAATTTGAATAGAGATTTGATAAATATAAAATTAGAAAATTCATATAATAAGTTAATATTTTTAAAATTCATATAATAATTAATTATTTTTAACTGGTTAGAGATAGGAAAAAAAAACTTATTATATATTTTAATAGTACAACAATCATTTTTAAGAGTAACAATTATGCAGTAGAATAAATAAAATAAGAGTTAAAAATATCACATTTAAAATTTTTATGAGTTTAAATTTAAAATAAAAAAAATATGAAGGATTTTTTTTATAAAATAAATGTATTTAAAATTAGAATAATTTTTATGAGTTCGTAAATTACACATTTTAGGAAAATCATTATCTAAAATCATAACATACGCCAGATTATATATGTGAAAAGAGAATTTTGTATTTTGGAAATGGTTAAGGTAAAATGCAAAATTTAACGTCGAATCCGATGTTTGTAAATAGGAATGAGTCTATATATGAGATTTGATGTCTATAAAACAGTGGAATATGCACCAAAATATGGTCAAACAAGCCTTATGACAATTGACAAACATCTTTCCAAATTTTCTGATCTTTACTTCAAAAAAAAAAAAAACGATCATACAACTTATAAAAAGAATTGAGTATTAAAAGATAAGAAAAATAAGAAATGATCTATATATCTTGAGAATTAATTTATACTCGAGTATATTATAGTGAACCAATATAAGGTTAAAAGATAGTAGATGTCAAGAGACGACGAGTAAGTCATAGAAAATAACGAGATAAATTTTTGTGGAAAGTTTGAAATTTTTTTACTACTTTGGAAAGATAATTCACATAAGTTAAGTAAAATCTTATAAAATTTAAATAATTATATTTATACTAAAAGATTCATATTGATAAAAAATTTAAATTAAAATCCTACATAACGAACGGATACATAATCTAGTATACATAAATGGAGTAATATGTAGTTAAAGATTGGATCACCCAGCCTTACTGTTTACATTATTTAAGATATGTGTGCCCAATCCTAGTTAAAAGGCAATGCACATTTGAGGGAAACATTATAATAATGTTTATTAGATCTTTTGATTAAAACAGGGAGACATATGGGGTCCATTTTTAGATACTGAAGAAATCCATATATGTATTGACGAAATCGATTTAATTATCAATTAAAAACATATAGATATGGTTATAGAGGAAAAGTCCAAATTCGTAGAGTTGAGTTAGTGATTATTATTAGTCTACACAATTATAATAAGTGATCGAGAAAAGAAAGAAACCTATGTAACTAGACTCCATTACTTAACGGGTGATATTGTCAAGAAAAAGTCGAACCAAATTATTAATTATTTATCCTAACCAAGTCTATTATCAATACAATAAAAACAACAAAAATCCTTCCATTGTTGATACCTCAGCATTTTGGAGTATTACAGGATTGACATGTCATTAAAATTATCAATCAATCAAAACATTTCGATTAATACAACTCAGATTTCTCAATCAATAATAGCTCTTTCCAATTTCAAATCACTTAATAATGATTAAATTAAATTCAAGCCCAAGCCCAAGCTCAATTGATTTAAATTTTTAAAACAACAACCTAATAATTAATTAAAATAGAAACAACTCAATGCCTAAATTTCTATTCAAAAATCAATTTAACGTAAGGTGATTATTAATTATTTCGTAGGTAGTCACGCCATTATATATATTTTTCAAACACGTAAGCTAACATAATTTTTTTTTCTAAATGCAAAACATGGTTTCCTTTTAAAAAAAAAATTGATAGCTTCAAGAATGGAGGCAGATACCAAAAAAAAAATTATAAAGAAAAAAAACTCGAAAAAAATATTTAAATTTGAAAATAAATAAAAAAAAATATTTCAAAAGTACATATACTTTTCGTCTTAAAGTACATAAATTTCTATGTTTTGTTTCACCGGTAGTTTTAGCTTTAAGTATCAATTGATGAAAAATATGAGTGGTCGATTGAAGAAAAAAGAGAATCATGAGCAATGGTGAAAAAAGGTTTGTGAAGGCTAAGATTCGGAAGAAATTAAGAACATGATATAAAAGAGACCTAATAGACAAATGGGTTGGAGAAAGTTTGCTTACTTAAACACAAAGTTAGATTTTTAATCATTATTCAATGTTTTCAGCTCTACTAAAAAAGAGAAAAAAATCTAAAAAATAGCTCACCGGTTTTGATTGAAGCTCTTGGAGCTTCTTAGAAATTCAAAAAAAAAATAGCACGATAAATAATCAAACACATGCAGCCATGTTCCTTTAGACTTTATATAGTTTAATTTGAATAACAAAAAAAAAATGGAGTTTGGAATTATAGAATGTACTTGAAGCGACTAAAGGTTCAGTTGTTGATTTAGTGCACATAATTTCAGAAATACAACAACAAATACAAATAATAAAACTCTCATTTCATTCAAAGAAAGGAAAAATTCAAGTCATTAATCTTTTGTTTCAGAATTCAAAAGTAGTTTTTTCATAATATTTATTGATAGTTAGATATTTTATTAATGCTAGAAAGAGACAATCCAAATACTAACTATCGGGTTTAGCAAAAGTTTTAAGCTTAAAAAGAAAACAAACATTTATATGTATATCATAAAAATATGATCTTTTAAAGACTTTTTCTAACAAAATGATCAAAACTTGAATTATAAAACCCCTCGATATGATTTGTCTTGTGTTCGAGTCGATTTATATTCTGCTCGGTTTGTTTTGTTTTAGTTGTGTAATTAAAAAAATTTAAAGGTAGGGATGTTTAAACAAAATCAATCTAATTTTTATATTTTATTAATTAAAATGAAAAAATATCTGACGATCTAAATCAAGTGCAACGTTGGTAAAACATTACATATTAGTAGTATTTACAACATTATTATTTAATTAAATAAATAAATATATTGGGTTATCGGTTCGGGTTGAGAAGAAATATAATCGAATGGTTTGATTGTAAGTTATGGTTTGGTTTGGATCGGTTTGAGTTTGGTTTGCTAGGTTTGGTTTCGTTCGGTTAAAATGTCACCCATAATAATATTGTTTTAAAGTTAAAAACTTGTTCATAGTGTTCAGC